TTGATTAATTTGCTGGAACAGCTCATAGAACTCAGGGAAACATTAATTCCATTTACTTGTTTATTAACGGATATAATAAACCATACGGATGACAGCCAGATGAAGAGATACATAGAGTGAGGTCTGGCAGCGTCCCCAGCTCAAGAGCTTCTGTTCCTGTGGAGTTGGGGTGTGTCACTCTGCTGATCTGCATGCCCTCGTCCACCCGGAAGCTCTCGGAATCCCACACCACTGGGATTTTTGCATTGGTTGTTAACTCTGTCCCAGCCCCTCTCCCCTCTATGGGGAATGGGGATGGTCTAAAAACTTTAAACATCTAATCACGGCTCAGTCTTTTGGGTGACCAGCCCTCATCCAGGAGCCCAGCCCGAGTTGCCTCGATAGAATAAAAGATGCTCCTTGTTCTCTTACCACTTACGAATTTATAAGGGTATTAGGAGCTGTGTGCCAGAAACTGGGGGCAGAGACCAGTATATACATTTCTTCTTATTTCACAATAGGGGATGCATGGGGTTTCTTTAGTGTGTTATAGTCCACAAAGTTGCTCAAATTATCTCAGAGTCAGCCCTTGGGAGGCCTTTCAGGGTGGCTGCAGAGGAGCAGTGGCCAAAGTGGCTGTAAGTTTAACCGAGAAGTTGGGGCACCATGGCCAGTATTACAGGTCAGAGGCCCAAGACACTGGGATCTCTCTTAAAATCCAAAGTTCTCCATCTCAAAAAGGTGACAGTGATTTTAATACTTCTGATGAAGGCATTCAGTCAAACATTTCATGGGTGTTTTCACATTTAACCCCCACAACTGTTATTATCCCCATTCTGTAGATGAGGAAATTGAGGTCCAGGGAGGATTAAGGGAGACCCAGGCAGGTCCAAGGTCAAACTGAATAACTGATGGGGCCAGATTTTTAAACCCAAAGCCTATGGCTTTCGCTTCTGTGCTAAGTGTAAGTGTATTAATCACTTAGGACAGACTTGCAGCGGGAAACATCAGCTTAGAAAAAATATAGAGCATTTACCTCCCATCATTCTTCTCAAAATGACTTTCAGAAACTACCCTCAGTGGGCCGCTAAGACTACAATTGCTTAAATAATAATAGACCAGGAGTTCTTTGATATATTTAAGGAATTTAAGGAAAATTATGTATTATCTTAAAATGTGTATTTGTATTTCAAAAATACTATAACCACATTCAGAAAAATTGAAATTCAAGGAAAAGATCACCTGCATCTCACCTCACAGTCTTGCCAATTACTTGGGATATTTTTTTCTTTTTCTCTATAAATTTTTTTGAATTCATCTAATATTTAATTAGATATAGTCATTGTGTCTCTAAAATGTTATCCTCTGCTTTTTTATCCAGTAAGCAAAATAAAATTTTTGGTGATGAAAACCCTATAAGAGCTTTGATTTCCTTAAGAGTAGATTACTAATTTCTATTACTCCAATTTTAAAAAGTGGACTAGATAAATATATACCAAGTGCTCAGGGAGAGGGTGGTCTAGAGGGAAAGACAGATGTATAAACAGTCATTCTATAAGGGGAGGGGAATATGCATTGTATACTGGAAGCACGGAGGAAAGGCAGGTAATAGATGCATCCTGGGGAGGGGAAGTGGTTCACCAACAAGGTGAACTTTGACCTGACTGTTTTAGGATGGATATGACTTTGTAGAAGGTGAGAAAAGGGCTTCTTGTAAAAGGTGAAGAGTGTACAGAGTCAGAGAGATGGAAAAGATCTCGACTTGGTTAGGCGTGGGCATTTGGAATTCAGGAGACCAGAGGGACTGGTAGCGAGGAGGCTGGGCAGGTTTGAGCATAGATTGCTGTGTGATCGGGGTTAGAGTAGATCAGTTAAAGCCATTGGATAATTTTGAGCAGTAGAGGTCTTGCACCTCATTTGTGTTGTGAGCAGTTCCTTCTGATGTTGGTGTGCAGGATAGAATCTATCTGCAACAGATAAGAGTCCAGAAGGAGATGTGTTAGGACGTATGAGTGGTATCAAGAGAAATCTGAAACAGGTGCTATGTTACATGGTAAATTTACATCTTTAGTGTACACATTGCAAGAATGTCAGATGAACTAGCAACTTTTAGAGGTACATGGCATTTCTTTTAGTTTAACATCAGAGGTTATGTTTACGGTTCCCATGTGTGGTTGTGTAGGTTGTTCACTGTACAACGATTCCTGGCCAGGGAGTAGAGGCAAAATCTACATATAAGCTGTGAATGCTGGTGTGGACTGTATCCACCCAGAGGAGGTTCCATTTTCTAAGTTGCACAAAAGCAATATGGTTTTAGTTTCACTAACTATTTTCTAGGCTAGGCCCAGGATAAAATATCTAGACACCAGGAAACTCAGACCGGTTAAAGTCCCTATTATTCTCTATTAAAGACAGTAGTGAGCAACATTTAGCTAATGCCTGCTCTGCTTTTCAGCCTTGAAAAAGGTGATATTACCTCAAGGCTCTGAGAAGCCTGGGACTCTCAAGCATAGTCCAGCCCAGTCCTGGGAGCGCAGATAGATGAGCAGCTGTCTTTAAGGGCTATGACCTCCAGCTATAATCCTGATATCTCCCTGGAGACCAGTTCAGTGGCCAGAGATGCCTAGCATCACACATACAACATGCACGCACAATCCCTAGGCCCAGAGAGATTCAACTCAGACATTTTGCAGCATTCTGTGTTTTATCTCTTATGGTGAGATGCACTTTTTGTTTTGGGGAAAGACATACATAAATCTTGGTGTGATTTAGGTCAGAACAACTGGGATAATAGTTAGCTTTGTTAATCCCAGTGGTTTCCCACCAAAAAAACAGTAGTTTTTTCATTTCTCTGCAAATTTTGGTTTTCAGCTAAAACAAAGACCTCCTAAAGAGAGGAGTTGACCGGGCGTCTCCTAAAATGGGGCCCTCACGGTTTCCTGCCACCATACACCTAATCAAGTAGGTGTCTTGTTGGCCAGGGTTTGATGCTAATGGTTATTTAAGGTTAATTTTGTTTCTCTAAGAGGGGATGAGGGCCAATGGACATGCTTAGAGTGGAAGTCAGCAGGCTTGTGAGCTAACAAGGATTTTTACATTTTCAAATGATTGAAAAAAGTAAAAAAAAAAGGAATATTCTTTTATATTATGTTAAATTCACATTTCAGTGTCCATAAACAAGTTTTTATTGTGAGGCTCTTTCACTTATGTATTGTCTATGACTGTTTTCATTGCTGCAATTAAAAAGTTGAGTCTTATGACAGAGACTATATGCCCTGCCTAAAATTTACTCTCTGGCCTTTTATAGAAAGTTTGCTGACCTCTACTCCTGAGAGACTTAAAGATGTAGAGGACTTAGGTACTTAAAATTTATCTTATGTTACCTTTTCACGAAAAAAGCAACTTTATTGGAATATAATTGGTGTACTACAAGGAGCACACATTTAAACTGTATAATTTGCTGTATTTTTACGTAAGTAAATACTCACGATACGTTACCACAATGGGCAGTGACCTGTTATCCCCTGAAGTTCCTTGTGCCCCTTTATAATCCTGTCCCTTCCTGTCCTCTGTCATCCCTGTAGCAAACACTCAATTCGCTTTCTGTCTCTGTAGAGTAGTTAGTTTAATCTAGAGTTTTATATACATGGAATTCTACAGGAAGTATCCTTTTTTTGTCTGGCTTATTTCACTTAGCAATGTTATTTTGAGATTCTTCTACGCGGTTGTGTGTATCAGTAGTTCATTCCTTTTCGTTCCTGAGTGGTATGTATTCCATTGTAAGAATATGCCGAAATTTGTTTATTCATTTCTTTCTTGAGGGCATTCATTTTTTTTTTCACTGTCTTTGACTAATGCCGATAAAAGTTCTATGAACGTCTGTGTACAAGTCTTTGTGGGCATGTGCTTTCTTTTCTCTTGGGTAAATACCTAGGAAGGAAATGGCTGGAGCATATGGCAGGTACATATTTAACTTTTTAAGAAGCTGTCAGTTTCGAACGGGTTGTCCCACTTTACTTTCCCACCAGTTTGACTGAGATCTGCTGTTCCTGCACAGGAGCCAATGCTTACTATTAGCCAACGGTGTCTGAACTGTTGACTTGCTTGAAGTAGGAGGTCTTGAGTTTGCCATAATCTGATTAATTTAGGCTGTGTAGACCACCAAAAAATTGATTCAGATTTAAAAATTAACCTTGGGCTCTGAGTCAGATTTACTGAGAAAAGTGGTTGAATAAATGCCATCATTGCCACAGAATCCATCAGTGGGGCTAAGATCTTGACTTTTTATACTGTAGTGAGCAGAATGTCACTGTAATTCTCAGCGCTCATGAAGTGTGTGATACTCGCGCCTCATCCCATCCCGTCTGGTACCAAGTCCTCTGAGACCCTGGGAACTTCTCACATGGGTATAAAGCAAAGGGGAGCTTGGCAAAAACAGAGTTTCTGAGCGCCATTCCCAGGGTTCTGAGCCGGTGGGCTGGGCTGAGGCCCGTGGACCTGCATTCTGACAGGCACTGGAGGTGTTGGCTGGATGCAGCGCTTTGCTCCGCCCCCTAAGTGTTATGACTTCTGCCAGCCCGCGTTTGCCCTGTGAAGCATGGGTCACGGGTCAGCTGCTGGGTCTCAAGCGAGGTCTTTGATTGGCAGCCTGGTCAGTCTGAGCCTCCTTGGGTTGTTTCCTTTGTGCGCTTGAGGATGTTCACACATTACAGGTGGTTTGACAGTTACCAGGGTGATTTCAACACCCACTTTCTTCCCTGGCCGCCCTTTTTTTTTTTTTTCATCTAACAATATGCCAGAGTCCATGATAAAATCTATTGGGAATAAAGTATTATCTTTCTGGGAGGTAAATCTTTTCTTCCCCCAAGAGTGACCACTTATCCTCTCAAGAGTGCTGAGTTCATCTGTGTGGATAGCACAGTCACTATCAAAGAATCGGCTGAATTGTGTGTCTCCATTAATTATACAGTGAAATTTAAATAAAACGTTGCTTCTCTCTTTTTCACATTTACTCTGCTTAGAACTATTTTGGTGGAAAACTCTCTGCTCAAGGGAAAATGCCTTGGATCGAATACAATCATGAAAAGGTCTCTGGCACAGAATTCATCATTGACTTTCTGGAGGAGAAACTTGGCGTGAACTTGAACAAAACCCTTGGTCCTCACGAAAGAGCCGTCTGCAGGGCGGTGACCAAGATGGTGGAGGAGCACTTCTACTGGTGAGCCTCCTGGGTGCACCCCTGTCCTGGAGAGTGAGCCCCAGATGCAGTTTCACCTTTCAGACATTTCCCCAACGTCCTCAAGTCCCCTTCTATGTTCTGAGCAGTAAAGGGGTCAAAGTTCTGGCTGTCAGGTTCCGGGTGTCTCCATACACCTTAGGCTTTGCAGGCCACGTGTCTGTCACAGACAGAAGCAAAAGCAGGCACAGATGACAGGCAATGAGGGAGTGTAACCGTCTTTCAGTAACGCAGTAAGAACGCTCACATTTGGATTTCACTTGATACAAAATATTATTGGATGTTTTTCCCCCATTTAAAAATGTAGAAGTTTCTTAGCCCATGGGCTGTAGTTGGCAGACCCCTGTTCTAGACTGGAGCTCACTAAGGGGAGGGGGGGCATTTCAGCTGGCTGGGCTCCTTACCCGCACATGCAGCTGAACTGCAAGAGGCTTACATCAGGTATGCAGAGCAGGGAATGGAAGACGCGGTCAGGACAGCAGGCTGGCGGAGTACAGGTCACGGCTCTGTAAGATTGTTGTCGGTTTTCCCAAGATGATAAGAGTGTCTCTGTGTTCCCGGATGAAAGCATGCTCCTGCTTCCTGAGGGTCTTTGCCCTGATGGGCTGACCCCTAGCCTGCATCCCCGCGTCTCAGGCATTGCACATGCTGTCACAGCCTGTCACAGCCTGTCAGTCAGACACACATGGTTCTTACTGCTTTACAAACTCATTGTCATGGTTTTTTTTTTCCTTTCTCTTTCGTCCATCTCCTGGAGCGCTCACACCTTTCTCTACATCCCAGGAGATATGAAAAGTTTTCTCTCTGATTTCTGCAAACTTCTCCTATTCCAAAGATTTGATTGAGAACTGTTCAGCCCACTTTTTTAAAAAAAAAAGGAATATTCTTTTATATTATGTTAAATTCACATTTCAGTGTCCATAAACACGTTTTTATTGTGAGGCTCTTTCACTTATGTATTGTCTATGACTGTTTTCATTGCTGCAATTAAAAAGTTGAGTCTTATGACAGAGACTATATGCCCTGCCTAAAATTTACTCTCTGGCCTTTTATAGAAAGTTTGCTGACCTCTACTCCTGAGAGACTTAAAGATGTAGAGGACTTAGGTACTTAAAATTTATCTTATGTTACCTTTTCACGAAAAAAGCAACTTTATTGGAATATAATTGGTGTACTACAAGGAGCACACATTTAAACTGTATAATTTGCTGTATTTTTACGTAAGTAAATACTCACGATACGTTACCACAATGGGCAGTGACCTGTTATCCCCTGAAGTTCCTTGTGCCCCTTTATAATCCTGTCCCTTCCTGTCCTCTGTCATCCCTGTAGCAAACACTCAATTCGCTTTCTGTCTCTGTAGAGTAGTTAGTTTAATCTAGAGTTTTATATACATGGAATTCTACAGTAAGTATCCTTTTTTTGTCTGGCTTATTTCACTTAGCAATGTTATTTTGAGATTCTTCTACGCTGTTGTGTGTATCAGTAGTTCATTCCTTTTCGTTCCTGAGTGGTATGTATTCCATTGTAAGAATATGCCGAAATTTGTTTATTCATTTCTTTCTTGAGGGCATTCATTTTTTTTTTCACTGTCTTTGACTAATGCCGATAAAAGTTCTATGAACGTCTGTGTACAAGTCTTTGTGGGCATGTGCTTTCTTTTCTCTTGGGTAAATACCTAGGAAGGAAATGGCTGGAGCATATGGCAGGTACATATTTAACTTTTTAAGAAGCTGTCAGTTTTGAACGGGTTGTCCCACTTTACTTTCCCACCAGTTTGACTGAGATCTGCAGTTCCTGCACAGGAGCCAATGCTTACTATTAGCCAACGGTGTCTGAACTGTTGACTTGCTTGAAGTAGGAGGTCTTGAGTTTGCCATAATCTGATTAATTTAGGCTGTGTAGACCACCAAAAAATTGATTCAGATTTAAAAATTAACCTTGGGCTCTGAGTCAGATTTACTGAGAAAAGTGGTTGAATAAATGCCATCATTGCCACAGAATCCATCAGTGGGGCTAAGATCTTGACTTTTTATACTGTAGTGAGCAGAATGTCACTGTAATTCTCAGCGCTCATGAAGTGTGTGATACTCGCGCTTCATCCCATCCCGTCTGGGACCAAGTCCTCTGAGACCCTGGGAACTTCTCACGTGGGTATAAAGCAAAGGGGAGCTTGGCAAAAACAGAGTTTCTGAGCGCCATTCCCAGGGTTCTGAGCCGGTGGGCTGGGCTGAGGCCCGTGGACCTGCGTTCTGACAGGCACTGGAGGTGTTGGCTGGATGCAGCGCTTTGCTCCGCCCCCTAAGTGTTATGACTTCTGCCAGCCCGCGTTTGCCCTGTGAAGCATGGGTCACGGGTCAGCTGCTGGGTCTCAAGCGAGGTCTTTGATTGGCAGCCTGGTCAGTCTGAGCTTTCCTTTGTGCGCTTGAGGATGTTCACACATTACAGGTGGTTTGACAGTTACCAGGGTGATTTCAACACCCACTTTCTTCCCTGGCCGCCCTTTTTTTTTTTTTTCATCTAACAATATGCCAGAGCCCATGATAAAATCTATTGGGAATAAAGTATTATCTTTCTGGGAGGTAAATCTTTTCTTCCCCCAAGAGTGACCACTTATCCTCTCAAGAGTGCTGAGTTCATCTGTGTGGATAGCACAGTCACTATCAAAGATACAGCTGAGTTGTGTGTCTCCATTAATTACACAGTGAAATTTAAATAAAACGTTGCTTCTCTCTTTTTCACATTTACTCTGCTTAGAACTATTTTGGTGGAAAACTCTCTGCTCAAGGGAAAATGCCTTGGATCGAATACAATCATGAAAAGGTCTCTGGCACAGAATTCATCATTGACTTTCTGGAGGAGAAACTTGGCGTGAACTTGAACAAAACCCTTGGTCCTCACGAAAGAGCCGTCTGCAGGGCAGTGACCAAGATGGTGGAGGAGCACTTCTACTGGTGAGCCTCCCGGGTGCACCCCCGTCCTGGAGAGTGAGCCCCAGATGCAGTTTCACATTTCAGACATTTCCCCAACGTCCTCAAGTCCCCTTCTACGTTCTGAGCAGTAAAGGGGTCAAAGTTCTGGCGGTCAGGTTCCGGGTGTCTCCATACACCTTAGGCTTTGCAGGCCACGTGTCTGTCACAGACAGAAGCAAAAGCAGACACAGACGACAGGCAATGAGGGAGTGTAACCGTCTTTCAGTAATGCGATAAGAACGCTCACATTTGGATTTCACTTGATACAAAATATTATCGGATGTTTTTCCCTCATTTAAAAATGTAGAAGTTTCTTAGCCCATGGGCTGTAGTTGGCGGACCCCTATTCTAGACTGGAGCTCACTAAGGGGAGGGGGGGCATTTCAGCTGGCTGGGCTCCTTACCCACACATGCAGCTGAACTGCAAGAGGCTTACATCAGGTATGCAGAGCAGGGAATGGAAGACGCGGTCAGGACAGCAGGCTGGCGGAGTACAGGTCATGGCTCTGTAAGATTGTTGTCGGTTTTCCCAAGATGGTAAGAGTGTCTCTGTGTTCCCGGATGAAAGCGTGCTCCTGCTTCCTGAGGGTCTTTGCCCTGATGGGCTGACCCCTAGCCTGCATCCCCGCGTCTCAGGCATTGCACATGCTGTCACAGCCTGTCACAGCCTGTCAGTCAGACACACATGGTTCTTACTGCTTTACAAACTCATTGTCATGGTTTTTTTTTTCCTTTTTCTTTCGTCCATCTCCTGGAGCGCTCACACCTTTCTCTACATCCCAGGAGATATGAAAAGTTTTCTCTCTGATTTCTGCAAACTTCTCCTATTCCAAAGATTTGATTGAGAACTGTTCAGCCCACTTTTTTGGCATTAACTGTCACCCCTGGGTCAGTTGTTCACCCACTAGCTTTCACCTCCCATGCTGAGAGAGGTACTCAGTGTGGGGCCAGTATAAGGTTCCTCCCCATCCCCTTCCTGTTTCATCTTTTCGGCTCTCTGAGTGGAAAACTTGCTTAATCTTTACAAATGGAAAATTGGCTGTTCCCCCTCTGGGATTTTAAGTGACCCTCTATTTTTATTTTCCTCTTTCTACTTGCATTTCTCACCCAGGCTATTCCAGGGGTGACTGGAAGCCCCACTTCTCTTGCCCCCTTACTCCAGAGGTGCAGGGGGTGGGAGCAAGGAGGGACCCAGGCAGAGAGGGGAGGCAGGGTGCAGGTCAGTGTGGAGTGATCCCAGACTGTTTGTGGAAGGAACCCAGACCTTTTCCTTATATGACCAAGGAGAGCTGTTGGACCTCCCATCACAAAGAGTGTGGGGGTTGCAGTGTGGACTGAAATGCACGACTGCTTGTGGTGAGCTTAGCCTAGGGGCAAAGCCTTGTGGGGTGGCGCCATCTCACCGGGCTGCCAGGTTCCAGTCCCCACTTTGAAGCCATCGAGGGAAACGAAGGACCAGCATGGGGCCACCCTGACCCTCTGCGCCTTTTCTTGCTGTAACTCTCCAAGACCTCATTGACCGATGGGCCTGTTAATGTGGAGAGTGTCACTTTGTTAGTTGGCTGGAAAGAAGCTGAGCACCGTACATTTTAGTACAACTTTTTGACTTCTGTAGTGTTCATAAAATTTATGTTCCGGTCAGGAAGACTGAGCCAGCAAGATTGCCAAGAACCACCTGTTACAGCTCCTTGCTCTGGGCGGGTGGACGTGTTACACGCTTCCTACCAGTTAAGTCCATCCTCTGCTCTTGCCTCCCCTTCTGTCCCAACACCAGCCGCAGCCAGGCGGGTCAGCTGGAAGGGCGGTGGTGGTGGGGGCGAGAGGGAGAGTCGGGGAGGGGGTGCCGTGCTGGGGAAGAATCCTAATTTTACACACTGCAAACCCCCAAGTGCCTAAGTCATACATACGCTCTTCTAAGGATACTTTTATTTCTCTAATTCACCGTTTAATGACAAAAATGCTTTTACTGGGGCTTAGCTACTATTTCTCATTTGTGTCTCCTCACGGGTT